TTGTTGTAATGTCTTTTCAGATATATATATATATATATATATAGTAATCTCATACTAAAGTATGAAATATAATTCTAATTGTCGGTCAAGCAACATACTACACCAACTCAAAAGGATTAATATTGCCATCTTTTTACATGGCCTTAAAAGAACTCCTCCTAATTTATATCTCTGCATCCATATCAAATATGATCATCTCAATCCAACTACTTAAAAACATGTAAGAGTAAACTAATTCGAAATAATCAACATAATAAGTATAAAAGTCAACACAAACAACTTACTATGCTTCAGCATAGCATATATTTATAACTTATCCACACTATACAATTTGAAAATCAATTAAGATAACACAATAATGCAACTCATCACAATTGAACTTAGCATGCGAATAACATAAACATCAATACATCACATGTGACACCCTCTACCCCAACATTAATACACAATAAATGTAAACAATAATTTTTTTTTCTTTTTGAATAGATAAAATCTTTCATAGTTTGATAACATCTTTCATGTATAAAACAAATGTCTCAAATATCATAAGGTGGAAGGTTCATATTCATAACTCATAAACCATAAAAAGTCAACATGTAAGTATCAAAACTCAAAAAATCATATAAAATAGTAAAAAAGAAAAATATAGATTAATTCCAGTAAAGATAGCAGTGCCTCCTAGTTAGGAATTAATTTATAACTTTCAAATCATGTAATAAAAATATAATAAAGATATATACTTTACCTTTCATCAAGAACATTCAAAATTACAATTCTCCACATACACTCACTATTAATTTTATTTACGTTATACCTTCACTAGAAATTACAAAAGAAAAGAAACCAAGGTTTTCAAAACAATAACATCTTGAACTAAGCCTAGTTATGCCCCGATGTCACATATCCTATCAGAACATACCCAACTGAAACCTTAAGCCTCATCACCAACATCCCCATGATGATGATCACCTGCAACATAATTTAAACATATACAAAAACAACAAGGGAGTGAGAAACATCTCACTCAGTTTAAGGCGCAGAAATAAAGGTTAGATAGCACACACACAACAAATATAAGTCACATGTAAACAATACACATACATAATCAATATCACATATACACTCGTTTATCATGAAATGATGTCATGGACTCGAGTCATAAATGCATGCATGTGGCGCCATACAGAAGTTTCACATTTCTCATAGCTTGTTACATCACTGGTGACCCTAAGGTACACCTTGTTAGCTTGTTACATCACTGGTGACCCTAAGGTACACCTTGTTAGCTTGTTACGTCGTGGGTGACCCTAAGGTACACCTTGTTAGCATGTTACATCACTGGTGACCCTAAGGTATGCCTAAAATATCTCAGTACATCACTGGTATGCGGCATAAGCAACACACCTGGAGTTATATATGCATGTGATGCATGTCATACATTCATTATTTTATTGACTCAACATTTGACTTATTAAAGAATTTCATTTAGTACATCATGTCATCATTTTTCATATTCTCCTAATAAGAGCTTATCTCAATAGTCCATTCTTATGTCTCATGTCATTTGACAAATTTTACATCCATTTGATGAATTTCCAAATTAAAAACACATGCAAGTGCAATTAAAACTCTAATAGTAGTAACTTTATAAACAGGAGAATATGTATTAAAGAAATCTACACCTTCTACTTGTTTATAACCAATAACAAGTTTTGCCTTAAACTTATCTATGGAGCCATCTGTTCTTAATTTTTTTTCTGAAAACCCATTTACAACCTATACTCTTGCAACCAAGAGGAAGGTCAGTCAAAAACCAAGTTTTATTGATTTTAAGAGAATTTATTTCATCATTAATGATTTCTTTCCAAAAAGGTGCAGCAACAGATCTCATAGCTTCGCTATAAGTTTTAGGATCATTTTCAAGTAAGAAAGAATAAAATTCAGGACCAAAATCTTTAGCTTTTATAATTCTTTTACTAATTCCAGGTTCAAAATTCTTGTTAACAATACTACTAGAAGGTAAAACAGAGCTAGAAGTATCATAAATAGGTTTAGACAATTTATTCTTCAAAGGAAAAATATTTTCCAAGAAAACAACATCTTTAGATTCCATAATTATATTATTAGAAATTTTAGCAACTTCAGAATTAATAACTAAAATTCTATAAGTAGTACTATGTAAAGAATATCCCAAAAAAACACAATCAACCGTCTTGGGACTAATTTTTCTTTTTTTATTTATAGGAATACACCTTTGTAAGACACCCGGCCCCCACACTTCATTGTATATGTTGTTGGTAGGTTAAGAAGATATACTCATAATCCTGATCATTCACATTGGCTTGCTCTAGAAAGTTTATTTAGATATCTTAAAGGAACTATTAATTATGGCATTTACTATGCATGTTATCCTGCTGTAATTGAAGGTTTTAGTGATGCAAATTGGATTTCTGACTCTGATGAAACTAAATTTACTAATGTTATGTCTTTACTTTAGCCGGAGGTGCAGTAGCTTGAAAATCTGCAAAACAAACTATTATTTCTCGTTCTACTATGGAAACTGAAATAATTTCCTTAGATACGGCTAGTAGTGAGACTGAATTTCTTAAAAATTTATTATATGACTTTCCATTATTAAATAAACCTATACCTCCAATCTCAATGTATTGTGATAGTCAAGTTGTCATTGCTAAAGTTATTAGCGAAAAATCCAATGAAAAAAGAAGGAACTTGAGAATAAGACACAAATCTATAAGAAATTTGATAACTCATGGTGTTATTTTTGTTGATTTTATCAGGTTTGAAAATAATCTTGCGGATCCACTCACAAAAGGGTTGACGCGTCAACAAGTACTTGAATCGTCGAGGAGAATGGGACTAAAGTCCATCAACTAGTCGCAACAATGGACACTCGTCTCCACATAAATGGCGATCCCATAAATGGAGTTCAATGGGTAATAAAGAAATTGTTTGTTAACTAAGTACACCATTGTAAACTGCAAAATTATTGCATGTTCCATTCCTATGGCGAGGTGTACTCTAAATTAAATTGTGACAGTAATAAGGTTGAGGTATTTAAATATTTATATTTATTATGTTAAAATTAAGAATACCTCTTAATGGACCCAATGACAATTGTTGTAAGGGTGGGTGTCACAGACCACCCTTGGAAGGGTTCACCTAGTGAGTGTGGTGGTGGGGTCGCTACCGTGAGATATGGGTAATCTCTAAGTGACACTCATGAAACAAGTGTTGGGATACAAACAAGTCCTACATCGATAAAATAAGACAACAAATAACAACTTATATAGCACAAACATACTTTAATGATAGAGAGGTCTTTTGGGTGATGACCAAAAGTAAAACCGTGAAGGCTAACGCCCAAAGCAGAAAATATCTCATCATTATGGAGTATACTTGTATAATAACCTTATAAAAATAATCCTTATAAAATATTCCCTCAGACAAATACCATAAAATAACCCTAACAACAAGATACATGCACAAGGTTGTAATGTGCTCCACTGATTAGAACTCAAATGAACACCTTTGTTATACATGTTATGTTCTAAAATTTGGTCAAAGGGATATGGCTCAAGACAATCATTTGTCCATATTCTCTCAGATGGAAGTTCATATGCACTAGGTATAAGGCTCAAACCCGGAAGGTTCCTTGTACTAAAAATCTTCTACTTGTTTATAACCAATAACAAGTTTTGCCTTAAACTTATCTATGGAGCCATCTGTTCTTAATTTTTTTTCTGAAAACCCATTTACAACCTATACTCTTGCAACCAAGAGGAAGGTCAGTCAAAAACCAAGTATTTTTTTTTATTTTTTTACTACGTTACACATGTTCCTAGAAACATACATCGGGCAAGGGATTGAGGGTCAATCCGACTACCCAACAATTATTCCCACACCCCTGAGTGAGGTTTCTCACTCCCCCCTTACCTGGATAAATAGGAGTTGAAACTAGAGTAGAACCTTGCTAATCTCCTTATCTGGATTCCCTCTTTCTTTCTCTTTCTTTCTCTCTCTCTCTCTTTCTCTCTCTCTCTCTCTCTAAGTTTTTACCCTTGGTCAGTTATAAGTTTTCACAGCCCCTCCCTCCTATTTATAGGCATTCAGGGGTACCCG